TGTGACTGTGTCTCAGAAACTCATTTGTTTCTAGTCACTGCTAAACTGAGGCATCTTCCATATGGTTTGGCCTACATACTTTTCCTAAGAAACAGGAATAGATCTGTCAGATTGGCCCAAAATCATTTCTTTTGGAGAAAAGGAGGAAAAACAACACACCAGAAAGAGAAAACATATATGTGGCTGAGTTATTGAGGCAAATGTTCACATCTAAACATTCCCGACCACCTAAGAATGTTGCATTGAAAACCATTTATTAAAACCCTTTAATAAAAGCGGTAAAATATGCACACGGTTCACTGGATATCTTGCCTAGAGACACATGAGGGTCATAATGACTACATATTCATGCAGTAATTAGCTGCAATTAGACCATATTTCTTAGCCATTCTGATGATTGGTTTCAAAAACAGCTGAACCTCTGGACCATTTCTGCATGCTGCATATGAACTGAGTTGCTGCCACATGATTGGCTGGTTTAGGTTTTATTATTTTTGTCTGCTTTTTCTCAAGATAACTGCTGACTATTGCATATACAAGTGGCAACAATGAGCCATTTGTATAAATTCACAAAGAATGCATTGTAGATACATGTTCAAAGACACATTCACATGCTAAATTTGCAATTGTTTTCAAATTCATAAGCCCATTACGAACTTATCGATTCATTTCAGAGCAATACCAGCCCACTTAAAGGGACAGAAAAGGGACAAAAAACAAAAATTCTCCCTCATATCGTTTGACTTTCTTTTGCAGAACACAAAAAATATTTTATTTTTTAAATAATATTAGGGCTTTATGACCATTCAATGAAAGTTAACGGGGTTTGGACCCAAAATTATCTTCAAAGTATCTCCTTTTGTGTTCCACAGAAGAATAATTTTTTCCTTTAAAGGAATTGTTCACCCTAAAAAAGAAAATGTGCGGAAAATGTACTCACCCTCAGGCCATCCAAGATTTTGAGTTTTTTCTTCATCAGAACAGATTTGGAGAAATGTAGCATCACATCACTTGCTCAGCAATGGATCCTCTGCAGTGAATGGGTGCCGTCAGAATGAGAGTCCAAACAGCTGAGAAAAACATCACAATAATCCACACCACTCCAGTCCATCAAATAACATCTCGTGAGGCGAAAGCTGCATGTTTGTAAGAAACAAATCCATCAAGACTATTTTAATGTCAAACTAAAATATGAGTCCATACATAACGCTTCCTCCAGTGAAAAATCCCATCTCCTGTTGTCCTCTCACATCAAAATCCACCAACACATTTGTTTTGGCATGTAAACAGTGTTTGATCTGTGCATATTTCTCTCCTGATTCAGACGAGCTGACTTTTTCACTGGAGAAAGCAATATTATGAATAGAGGACTCACATTTTAGTCAATTGTCAACAAATTGTCACTTTTCGGTGAATTATCCCTTTACAACAAAGGCTCAGATCACAATCAACATCAAACTCTGATTACAAGGATTAATAATAGTACAAGAAGTAGATCACTCAGTAATCCATCTCCATTTCCAGTGCAAGTCAAGGACCTGCTGAGATGATCAGCCTTCTCGACAGCTGGCTTATTTAGAAATGTTATTCTTAAGAACAGTAATGGCCACTTACAGACTCCAGTTATTTTACAGCATGAAGTATGAAGACCTCTAAGTAGGCTATACCAAAAAAGGAGACTTGTACATAGCACTACAGAAGATCCTCTGGTTGGACACAATAGTGATGTTTTCATTGGAACGACCTTTGTTTATACAGCCATTTTTTTAGAAAAGGACATTGCTAGGAGTTTCCCAGGCTTGGAAATCACAAATCACTTCTTAAAAGTTTTTCATAGCAGATTAATACGACTCAATGAGGTACTGACTACCCGAATTAATTTCTAGCAAAGGTAAGCACACATTAGACTGGAAACATCCCCAAATATCAAATGATGATGGCATCATTTACTCCAGGAAGTCCGAGGAACGAGGAACTGCTAATTCAGTCAGAACGGACCTTAAAAAAGCTCTTTTATTACACTTACTTTCTGCTGTGGCAAACTCTCTAGCAAAACATCAGCACATCAGAGACATCTCAAACTTGTTTTATTACATCTTAAATAACAGTACATTTTAATATAGTATCTATGTTGCATCCAGCTTTCTGTGGTACACCGACAGACTGAAATTAAATACAAAAGGTGAGATAGGGAGTGCTGAGATCTACAGTTATTAATGAAGAGAGAAAATAAGGGGAATCCATTTTAATTGAACTGCAATTAATCTTTACTGGTGGCAGCACACACAAATACATCACAATTATTGTACATTATCGCAGAGAAAGGAAAAAAACAATAATAATAATAAAAAAAAAAAGAAGTCAAAACTATTAAAGAAAGTGCATCTGTTTACAGTGGAAAAAGACTCTGCCATGTCAGATGCCATTTTAAAGAAAAGCCAAAAGTTTCTCGCGATTCTCCGATCGAACGTTTTGATTTAGAAAACTCGCACGAAGGTTTTTCGAGCGTCTCGAACGGGACTTTTCGCAACTGTCGTTTAATTCGGGACAATTTCAGGAAGCATGGCCATGACTTACAGGTCGTCTGCAGGAAATACATGTCGTATCGCCCTCGCGATTTCTCATATTGGTGCATAGCTTCGCCGGTAAAAGTAAAGGATGTATGCACAGCATGTGTAAAACATCTGGAATCAATGTTTCAATGGTCAAAAATTCTCAGTTTCATATCGGTTTCGCCGTCCCGGTGAAGGTAAGTGGGCCTAAAGATGTCAGCTCCTGTTTAAGCAAATTCTACAGCATGCGACTACGTTAATTCATGGCAGATGAAATAAAACGCTTAACTTAAAAATTTCTGAATTATCATTATTTTCAGACATTGATTTGTACAACATTTCATTCACATAGTAGTAACTGTATTTCCAAGCACAGACAGGGCTATCTGTTCTCTCTCTGGAACTGGGCTAAAAAGAAAGAAAAGAAAAAGGTTTTGTTTTTCCAAGCACCGATCCCGACACCACTGAAAAAAAAACCTAAACACTCCCCGCCCCACCTCCCCAACGCCCGCCGACCAAAACCATCCCAAAAATCGGAATTAAAGCCAAAAGCTCGAAGGAACGTATAAACATAAGACCAGAAGATAAGCTAAGGGGTTAGTTTGAACTGTTTTTAATCCAATGAAAGAGGATTGTATTTTTTTTTTGGTGAATTTTTTCACTTTTTTTTGTACTTTTTTGTGCATTTTCTACATTAAAATTAGCATTCAATGTGATTAACAGCATGTGCTTGGTTAGTTAACGCTTAAAACGTTAGTCAAGTTTCTTATTGTGCAAACAAAGCTGACTGGACGAGACGAGACTGGAAAGAAACATTAGCTAGGATATAATGCTGCATTCGCGTGCAAGTCGGATACCCATATTTACAACGGCCATTCGCAGATAAATGAAGCGAGTACCTCGGACTCAGAAATGGCAAAGTATTTCAAAGAGATATGGCATTTGCTTTTTTCTTTAATGACAAAGGACCAGGATGCACACTGAAAGTTTAACTAATGCACAGATCAGGATTACATTTTGTAGAAAGCTAAGGCTATTCTTATTAGCCAATGATCGGCAATAGCCCAGCGATGTTAACAATCGGAACAGATCAGAGGTGAACGCTGTCTGGGGACGCCCAAAAATATGAATATTAAGCTTTCACAAAAGGGCGCGTGAACTTTACCTCACGTTCATGAAAACTACACAACCTCTAGAGCAACCTAGTGCACACGAAAATAACAAAACAAAACATGATTGGCATCGTCAAAAAAAGCTGCTCTTCCATCCTGGTCTAGTTTCAGCATTTTACATGACTTTTCTTGTTTTCACATGGTTTTATAACAGGATTCAAAGTTTTACTAATCAGAAACATATCATCTAAACAGAAAAAACAGGCGGGAAAAAGATCTAGAAGATGGACTACCAGATAAAAGGAACAACAGAAGAAGAAGAAAAAATAAGAGTTAAATAATTTGTACAATTACACTCCAACATTTGCTTTCTAGACACATGATACATAAGCGTGGGATGATAGTGTTTTGTGTTTTCTCTTACAGGGTGACACAGAATGGTCCGAGAGGGAATGCAAGTTATTCATTTGAAACCACAGGAATTCTTCTTTTTTCTCTTTTTTTAAGCTGGGTGATAAAACAAATTGTGCTCTTCTTGGTGTAGGAAAGGCATTGTTTTCCCTTAGAAGTTTTATTTCTTTTCATGGTGGTGTCAGTCAGTTTTATAAGGTGTTTTGTTGTTGACGATGCTGTGAAATTTAACATTCTAAAGTTGGAATGGTCTTCCAGTCAACTTTGGAGTTCAAATGATATCTGCGGACAGATAAAAAGAGATGAAAATGATAAAGTAGATATTCAGAGAATGACTTTTTTAGATCAGACAACTCCATATAAACTTGCATGATAAATGCACAAATTACTATTACACTGCAAGAAGGTACACTGAGAAACTAAACTCATTTATTTAGGCATAAATGGTTGGAAAACAAATTCTTATTTGTAATCTCAATTTTGTGAATCTATAACGTAAAAAAAAA